ATATATACCAACTGCATGAAGAAGTACAGAGTGGAACTCAGCATTTTTGTCAATGATGTCAAAATTCCAACGATAAACAACCCAAAAATCTCTGCAGTCAACTGCTTGAAACGGAGCCGCCTACTAGGTATAGCAGGAGAACATTTCTCCAACACGTCGATGAACTTACATAACATACCTACCAAATTACTGACGTGAACAACTTCCAACAAGCACTGAACGCCATTTACGGTGAAGCAATTAACACATTCATTGACTCTCTGCAAGTGAATAGCGTACTTGGCGTCCGAACACCATCTGTTGCAGAAAAAGCGCTCAAGTTGTCACATGAAACAAGAGTGACGCTAGCGCAACTCCGTTCTGATTATTGTAGCGGGGTATTGTATATACATATCTAGAATAGTTCCTGATAGACAACACCGAAGTGCTGCCTGCAACGAGACCTCGCATTACCAATGAAACCAACCCACTTAACCCCGCTCTCCCTATTGTCCGAACCCGTCGAAGCAGCTCTTTTCGTGGGCCCTATCGTTAAGTAATTTTGATGAATATTAACTTATTGCATTCCCTCAAGCAGGGTCTGGATAATCGTTACAACAGCAATCTTGCAAATTCCTAAGATATTGCCTTAAATTTATTATTAACGATTTTTAACGAAAGTACTCATAACATTTTCTTCTGATGATATGATCTTAGAATCGCTTAGGACTTCGATCTCAAAACTATGAAAATTAAAAAAGAAAATACATGATGTTTTTGTTGTTCCGGGGCCAGATAATTTTGAGAGTGTTTACAAGTTGGAAGGCCAGATCAAAATACCGGTTCATTACAGTTAGATTCGATTAAAGTTGCAGAGCGTTCTACAAACTGTGTTGTTCGTGTGTTCTAGCGGAAGAATTTTGCCGAGTTAACAGTCCTTGGTTACGTAGACCCGACTGTCGTGGGAACGGGTTCTACAAACTATAGTCTACTGCACCTTTATCTCATCACTTCCGAGTTTATTTCTGTTACGTGTAGTGGATATAACGATATAATTATGGGTCTCAAAAAAATTTAGGTGATATAATAGTTTTATAAAACTAAAACTTTACTATGTTCATCGTACTATTTTTAAATATTTGCTTCTAATTATATCCTCACCGCTGTACATATACATACATAGTTTTAATTATTCAGACAATTTCTTTCAAACGGTAAAAATGCCATAGGCAAGCTCATACCGGACAGCACGGCAAATTGCTATTCATACATACGTATGTAACCGTTAAGCTATCAACGAGCTTATGTTAGCTACAAATTAATGTACGTTTTTCCCTAAGTGATTTTATATAATATGTATTTACATACACATTGTATATAGAAAATTCTTGACGCTAATCTAGCGGCGTTGCAAACTGCATAACCACCTAGACTCAAACTAATTACACAACAAAAATGTGCAACAACAACAACCTTAAATGCACTCTCGCCTACATTTTAAGTAAGTCACAAACTTAATGAGTTATTTGACCGCTTTACGTGCGAGCTCATAACTCCACTGCCATTCAACCGTTCAACGAGYTAAGCAGTGGACTTAGCGGCACTTACCTACATATGTACATACATACATATATGTGTGTAGGTATGATGCAAAGCCAGCCGTTAAATACAACTAATTGGAGAAGTTCGACGTTTGACAAATTTGTCAAGACACAAAGGCACTTGCCACATGAATGCAACGCAACAAGTTTAATGTGGCGTTATTAGAGTGTAACGGCAATAAAATATTAGAGGCAATATATCAAATTATGGACATATACTTATGTATATACATATATAGTGGTTGTTATTACCACGCACTCACGCACATAAATTCATTTAAAAGCATTTTTTACGCAATTATTGTTAGAGTGGCGCTTACACGGTGCGGCCAATTTGCGCATTAACACCTGCGAAGCGCTACTAAATCTTGTAAACATGTGAAAGGTGCAGACACAATTAACATTATAATTTTTTGAAATTGAACTTTCCACTTTTTAAGTTTAATATATGTATGTACATTATTAAATAACTGCTTTTATTTTCTTTTCAATAAAGCGCAACTAATTTCTTTTTTCCATTTCACTTTCTAGTTTGCCAGCTGTTTGGCCATAACCTCGGTGCTGCTACTCGTTGAAGCGCAGGGGCCATTTCCGCCAAGATTGAGTATACCAGGAGCTGTGCCCGTGGCCGGACCGGCAGTTGCGCTACGCTCACAATTTCGCAATGATAAGCCGGTACGCGTACGTCGTCCAATCGCTTTGCGTGCACAAAACTCGTACATACCGTCGGTAGCGCCGCGCATACAAGAGGAACCCAAACCGGTAACCGAATCGGCTGAAGATGAACAACCAGATGTTTTCTTGCCACAACTGCTACGCGAGCAGCAATTGGTGCAAGCGCAGCAGGCGCAATTTCAACAGCAAGCGAACGCTTTTCTCAACGGTGAGGTAAATACCATACATGATACGCCCTCATTGCCACAATTGTTGCAAGATGATGAGCATATTTTGGCGCCATCACCGCAACCTGCCTTGCTATCAACGCGCTTTACTGAACGGCCCACACCGGCTGCACCTGTAGCAGCCACAACGTCCAACAGTCGGCCCGCTTTCAATGATTACGGTATTGGTAGCTTTGGTGCGCAACGTTTTGGTTTGGAGCGGCCACAACAGAGTGCACCTGCACCGGCACCTTTGCCACAGCAAGCACCACAGCGTGTCAATGTTATACGCACACGTCCACAAGTGCGTGAACAACGCCCACAGTATGAGGCGCAATCAGCACCACAACCAGCTCCGGCACCAGTGCGCTCTCGTCCACGTCCAGCACCAGCACGTCCGGCCATTGAATATAATCAAGTGCAACAAGATGAACGTGAACAGCCACAACAGCGTCGCCAACGTCCCGTAGCGCAGACAATACGCAAATGGCGTGAGGAGAATGAGGACGGCAGCATTACTTGGGGCTATGAGAATGACGATGGCTCATTCAAAGAGGAAATCATAGGCACAGATTGCGTTACCAAGTGAGTAGAATATTTTCTAAAACTAAAACTACATTAATGTTACAATTATTTTTGCTTTTAGGGGCACCTATGGCTACATTGATCCCGATGGTAACAAACGTGAATACCACTATGAGACCGGCATCAAATGCGATCCCAACACACGTGAAACAGAGGAGGAGCTGCAACAAAATGCATTCATAAATTACGAACAAAATACGGCTGTATTGCCAAATGGCATTGAGATCGACATGACACAGATCGGCAAGAAGAAATCCAGACGGCCGAATTCCATCTACAGAAATTAGCATTTTAATACTTACAATAAATATATAAAAGGATAATATTTAAGCATTTAAATATATATCAATAATTACATCTTTAATTATAAACTAAAACTTGAAATTGTGTTTTTATTAATTTATTTTTTTCTTTTTCCCTCAAACGACTTTATACCTTCGTCTGTTATCAAATTTTCAAATGGTACACATTTTTTGTATAAAATCTTAAAAGGGCAAAATAATCGAAATTAAAATAACACTAATGAAAGTACCTTAAAAGTAAAGTATTGTAGCAAAGTAATAATGCTTGCAGCATACATTATCTGCTAACTAGTACGGTCTCTGACGGCGTATGGGCGGCAAACGATTAGGTGGTGTGATGGAAATGTCTAGAAAGTCACCAATGCAGAATTTAGCTTGTGCCAATGTTTTGGTATCATCTGCACCCTTTTGACCAGTACAGGTTACACCGATTTCACGCATCTGGTAGTGATTATTGCGGAAATTCGGAAATACTATTGCGAAGTCGAAGTAAGTTCCTTTTTTACGAGTATCTGGATTAACATCTCGTACTAGCGATGTGAGTTCATGTAGTGTGGCGTCCTGCCAGGTATATATCTGTAGTTCATTGCTTGGCACATTACCATACATGTATTCCGATACAGAGTGATGGCGACCAGTCGAGCAGAAAACACGTAACAACAGCGGACATGTCTGTAAAAAAAATAAAAAAAAATTATATGTTGTAAGTCAATAGAAATAAACAATTTGGTTAACCAAAAAACAGGGCGCCGACTACAAACCTTCTCACGATCTATAGGTTTTATGTGAGACTTCTCTTCCACAATCATTGATTCTACGTTGGCCATTGTACTTTCCTAGGTTTTATTTACTTTATGAATAGTTTTAATTTATTATTCACTCAAAATTCTACTTTAATTATGCACTCTGAATTCTAAACACTGAAAATGAAGCAAACACGGTAAGCAGAATTAAAGTTGACAGCCAAACTACTGCAACCAACTTCTCTTGTTCTGCAGTGTTGCATTATGAAAAATTAATATATTTACTTGGTATGGTTTCACTTGGAAAATATAATGCATAAAATTTAATGATTAAATTAAATTAAATTATTCTTTAATCCCGAATTGAAAGCTAAAAATTGAACATTTTTGAAAAAAAATGTGGTAAGTGTTCAGAAATATATTCAAAATTCGTGAACACATTTTAGGATTTTTGTTTCTTTGTAACTTACTTCCCATACCTACTATGAATTGTCAACTTCACACAAAAACAAACAACAAAATAACACACGGTCTATCCAACATGTTGGTGTACAAAGTTCGTACTTTTTATGGTTAAGTATACTTAAAGATACTTTCTAAAAAATTGTTCAGAAAATCCGTTATTTTGGACAATTGCATAAAAAATTTCGAACTTTGATTTTGTTACCATTAACTAAAAAATAAATTGAGCTATCTTTACAGAGCGAAGTTCCACAAAACTGAGAGTAAATGCTTCAGGATTTATAAGCCATATATCAACAGCATTAACAAACCACTAATGCTGTATCTGAATATGGGTTAAGGTTTCATGATTTCTTCAGTTTATTATCGACTGTCCGTTTAGCTATGACTTTTATTCCTCAATTTCTACCCTTTCACTTTTTAAGACATAGTTGGCAACGCAGCTTGCAATTGTTTGGAATTTTCATCATTTTGCAAACACAAATTATTCGGTCGTCGGTGTCAGCTGCACAGTTTTGCGGATTCCTAAGTAAAGTGCAGAATATTCATAGTATCCCAACACAATAAGCAAATTTTTGCAAATCCAAGTGTTATATTTGTTTAACAAGTGCAAAATCTTAAATAGTGAAAATTGCGAATCCAGTTGATTGCAGATGTAGTTATATACATATACGAAAGCATATATAAAGTGAAAAGTGTATCGGAAAGAACACGAATATTCTAAGAGCGAATAAAAAATTTCCCGTGTTTTCTAAATACACAATATCTTCATTTGCATTATAATCGGAGCTAACATAGATAACCACTGTTTTCAAGTGTTTCATTTAGTGCTGTTTTCTGCAAAGTTCCACAAGAAAAATTTTCGCCTGCTCCAGCTGATTTCTGGGTGAGTTCCTGCATACACATGCATACAAATTGCCGTCAGTTTAAAAAGTTTCGCATCACAGCAAATCAATATAAAGTGAATAATTAAGATTTAGTAGTATACCAAGAAATATTAGATGTTATGCAATTTTGTGTGAATGATATTGAGGTCGCCATACGAATATCTGTTTGGATATGTGTACATTTCTATATTTTTTTGTGTATATGTATCTAGGTATCTTGAGATTTTACATTTGCTGACTTCTGTAACTTGTTAGCAATCGCATGCGAAAATAGTAAAAGTGAATAAAAAGTAACAACATATTAGAATACCCAATGCGGTCTAATTGGATTTCGTTATCACAGCTTCATTCTGATTAGACTCAGTACTTTATAATATTATTTAAGGAACACTGCTGATAGACTGTCCCCTGAACGAATATTTACCTTTTTAATGATATTATAGCTTCCACAGTGCATATTGCTGTTTCGTTTAAGTGGTTGGAGTTTTGTAATAAAATAACAACAATAGAATTAAAATATTGCTTTGTATGTTTCAGATTTCCATATGCAAAAGGGCAGGTCCTCATAAGAGTTTTATAAGAAACAAGTGTTGCTTAAAGTTATAATAAATTTTGTATAAAAAGTATAAAAAGATCTTTATTCTGATTTTGATTGGTCAATTGTACGGCAGCTTTGTACATACCTCATACATATACATACATATATGTTATAGTTGTCTGATCTGAACAATTTCTTTGGATTTAGTAGTGGGGATACCTTGCCAAATTAAAAAGGATTTGTGTTTGATCGGTTGTTGTTGTTATAGCGGCAAAATTACTCCAAGTTGACATTCCTCGGCCGGATAAAAGTCTGGGTACATTCCGGTTACGTAGACCCGACGGACGTGGAACGAATCGGTCGGTTTAAATGGCAGCTATGTACATATATGCTATATTTGTCTAATTGATATCGATATGTAATCCCTTTCCATTATATTTTGTAGCCTGCAGAAAAATGTGCTGGCCTTAAAATAATTTCAATCGAGTTCTATAAATACACCTATTAATATATACATATGTACATGTACATATTTATGCATGACAGCTGAAACTACAGTGTTTATGTTAGTGTTGCTGGTATAATGGGGGAAACATTTTTTAACAAAGATATCATTAAATGGACGCATGGCCAACTGTAATTTGGATTACAATGCCGAAAAAACATTTCGCATATAATTGGCAGTGAAATCGTTTAAGTGATTACTTATGTAGTTAGTTATTAGTAAAAAGGCTGTTAATAAATTAATTGAAATATGTAAACAGAAAATTGCATTTATGTACAAATACATTACAGTAATTTTTATAGATAGCGAATGCGAGCATATATTGCAGGAACAATAATAATAAGGATCGGCTTTAGAATACCGCGGCAGGATACCGGGAATAATTGATATGTTCGTATAAAAGAGGTTCTTCAGATCAAGAATATGTATATTTATAACCGGAAACTCATAGTTTTCAATATATGTATATATATTTGGGTTTAGAGTTGATAATATCAACTATTTGAAGTACGTATTTTTTCGTTTTAATATTAATTTTACGCTTATAAATATTTTGCACTTTTATATACATTAACACTTCACTTATTCGCTTGTACACATTTATTTTACAATATCTAGTGCAAAAATATGGTTTTAATTTAATTTTTAAATTATTGTTCCATTCTATTTATTTAATAATAACAAAATATTTACAAACTGTCAAATAATCAGTGTTACCTTATCGACATCTTTTGCAAATGAACTGCAAGAAATTAAAAACAGATTACAGGAATAAAATAATAATAACAAGATATAAATAACATAATATTTTACAGCCTTCAACAGTTCACAAATAATATTTGCCTCTATTTATAATTAATTAATTTACAAACGGGAAAGAAAACTATGGCAAAGGAAACTAATAGCGATAGTTTTTGGGTGTATGCATCGAACACCAAGACTTCGCTCTTTAAGTATTTCAGTATTTAAATATATTTAAAAGTTGCTGCTGCCTAATGATATTATTATAAATTTAAAAATACTTTATGTTGTTGCATTTGATAGCCATGCTGCTAATTATCACTAGTAAAAGTTAATTGGGGACTATACACTGAATCCTACATACTCACCCACACGTTTGATGAAAACTAGCAGAAGCAAAATCACAACATTTTCAAAGCAATATGTATTTAATTATGTGCACAGTCGCCTCATTTCGATTACCCGCTACGTTTGTGATATTGACATCAAAGGTCATAAATTTCCAGCATTGGAACGGAAAAAACTTTCGACGAAGACGCAAAACAGAAATACCAAACACTTATTATGAAATGAAAAATAACTCGTACAATTTCTGTGATTGGAATGCCTAGAGTGTGTGTGTTGTTTTTGCTGTTTTAGCTAATATTACTACCAGCGTTGTTGATTTCCATTGCTGTTGCTGACGTATGGACATGGAAATCTCAAAACAACTTGCACTTGAAAAAAAAGAATTCACAATTTTTCATTTCAGTGCCATAATAACAACAAAAATAGTGAAGCAATTTATTCATAATACCAATCAATAGCAACAACAACAGGGAAACCATATTCGTCTGTGGCAGATGGATTGAAAGCTAGTATTAATATTATTAGCATGCATTCAATCAATTGAAATATTTCTAAGTTGTTAGGCCCTAAGCTGGAAAAGAACTTTGTGAAAACAACAATAAAAACAAGAAAAATTTGAAATCAGTAATTAATTATGTACAGTTCTTTCTTTGTTGTTGTTGTAGCGGCAGAATTCTGCCGAGTTGACAGTCCTTGACTGGTTAAAAAATTCGTGTCCGTTCCGGGTATGTAGACCCGAACGACCCGGCAGTCATGTGTACGTAGACCTGATTGCTCCAAGCTGAGTCCTAAAAAAACTTTTGGCTTCCTTGTCTTGGGTGTCCTCCCACTATAATGCTGCTGCTTCGAGTGTCAACTGTTTCCAGGAACTGGATACCTATAACGAGACTTCACATATCAGTGCGTTTTTTATTAGGTTATTTTTTCTGCATCAAACCAGTAGCTCGCTCCGCCCACAGCTACATATTTTACTTTTCCGCGAATTTCCCTTGATTTCACTTGCCTGAAATGAGCTTAGCAGACTGCAAAGGAATCGCAATAAGTTTCACTTTCACCTCATTATCGTAATCCGATTTTCGCCAACTCCCCACAATATTTCCGCAAGTCCCTGAAGGGAGACGCTTTGTACACCGCAGAATGATTGCGTCACAAGTTTGCGAAAAGTTTTCTCACCTTTCATAGGCTTCATTCACGGCTAACAGCTGCGCTAGCACACTTACACGCGTTCGGAGGCGAAATTTAAGTAGCAAAGTTGTGAGAAAATGACTACACAAACGCACAAACAATATACGAATATACGGAAAAAGTGGAAAGCAAAAGCCGACAGAGTATATTTTGCAAACAAACAAACAAAAATAGCTGTATAAAGCAGTGTGGCAGATCGATTCAACTTTTTTGCTATTCTCTTCTTATTCTTGTTCTTCTTTTGTTAACGTTTTAAAATTTCAGTGAAATACTTTCGGGCCAGTAAATTATCTGCCGTTGACGCCTGTCCGTGGCATGTGGTAAACAAATGAGTAGCAATGTGATTGTTGTTGTTGTTGACTGCCTGCCAGTTGCTCGAAAATTTTATTATTTCGAAGTAACTTTTGCATGCAAACACACATACACACACAAGCGCACATTCAACTTGCTAAGCCATACAGGGTGCTTGTTTGTGGAGCAATTGTCAGTGTGACTGTCAGTCAGCTGTAACGATAGCCAGTTGCTGGTGACACCATCAAGAGCAGCAGCACCAGCTTATATACACTTGTTTCTGGAGAATTCAAGGTTCACAGTTACAACTGACTTTTGCCACAAAACTTGTGTGCGTGATGAATGTGTATATACATGTAAATACATATGTATGTGTGAGTATGTACTTGACACCTACATATGTATGTATGTATGTATATATGGCGCCAATCTAGATGATTTAGCGAAAGTTAGTTGGATACTGTTCCTGAGCACCTCTATTGCATAAGCATACACACACACGAAAGCACATCTAATATTTTCACATATACTGTATGATCAAATTTGACCCTGACTGATGAAAGAAGTATATTTTCATGTACTTCAGTCAATTGAAGAGTCCCCTGCCTACAATAATAAAAGTAAGTTTTTTGGCAATATTCGTTTTTTTATTCAACATAGTTCCCTTGAAGGGTGATATACTGCTTACTGCGACCCTTCAACTTTTCGCTAACATTTTTATAGTACCATTTGCCCTTTGATTAAAAATGTGCCTCATTTTCGGCGATCACTTCTTCATTCGATGAAACTTTCTTCCCTGCGAGCAAATTTTTGAGATCTAAGAACAGGAAATAGTCACTTAGGGCCAGATCTATCAATTCGAAAGCAATTCGAGGTAAACTGATGTATTTGTGCCATCGTTTTCATTCACATGGTCCTTCTTTTTTCCAGTCGATAAAACTATCCATGTGCATTCCTAAATATAGACGCCATAACCCTGCCAGCCGACTGTTGCGACTTTCCGCGCTTTGGGGCGGGTTGATCGTATTCAGTCCACTCGGATGACTGTTGATTGGACCTCGGAGTGAAATGATGGATACATGTTTCATCCATTGTCACATTTTGAATGCAAAAATTCGAGTTTATTACACTTGAACATCTCAATCTTGTCCGAAACATCAACTCGTCGTTGTTTTTGGTCAAAATTGAATTCATGCGGTACCCATTCTGCCCAGAGCTTTCTTATACCCAAATATTCGTAATTGCTATGAAGTACACTTTCAGTTGATATCTTTAGAGTACCTGCTATCTCGAACAACTTCACTTTACGGCCATCCAAAATTATTTTGTGGACCTTTTCTGATGTCTTTTGGGCGTTCACTGGGTTCAGCGTGTTATGTGTTCATTTTACT